CAGGCTCTCCTCAAATATCGACAAGACGACTTCATTATATTTCACCCTCCCCATCCTCAAAATTTTTTGGGGGTCGACCCAAAAAAATTTAGAAGGGTTTGTATGGAGTTTTCTAAGCATAACTGGGCTACGATCTCAGAGACAATTTGCCCCGAAATGCTCATTTTTAGCAAGTAGGCCTCTTGGACATTGTTCTTTCAGAATATCCTGACAAATCCCATAATTTCAGAAATTTCATTTTTATGACGTCATCACTTTAGTACTCTATTGGTATTATGTAATGGTAATGGAACTGAGTGGAATGCAATTTGGACTGACGTCATACGTGTGACTGGATGATATCGGACAAAATTAATTGCATGACAACAAGTTCAATTACTACTTTATTACGGCCGTTTTGAATTTGCAGAATTCAGTCAGTAGCAATAGTCTATTAATACAGTTATTAGTTTGTTCAAAAGAGAAATCGGGAAAGCTTTTATATATCTCATTTTGTATGCAAAACCGACATGATGTGATTTAGAACAAATTGATGCGACTTAGAACAGAAAAGAATTTAGAACATGCATGATGCCATTTGGAACAGATGTGATTTAGAGCAAATTATAGTGTGATTCGTGAATAAGTCACACTGCTGAGAGCCAATCACATTGCCGCGATCACCAGCAATTTCAAAGTGGATGTAATAAATGATTTGATGGAGCCGAAACCAGTTGTAAAATTGAACACATTTTAGGCATCCAACTGCTGAATAATTATGAAAGTAATAGATATTTGCAGGAGCAACAGCTGTTTTATTCAGTTTTACTAGTCCACTTCCGGGCAAGTAGATTATTTATAGGCGAGTTCGTATGGGGAGCTCAAAGCGTAAAGGTATGTTGGGAGTTGAGGCATGTAGACGTTTGACCGGTTTCAGCAAGTCCCAACAACACCCAACGACGTGCAACAGGATGTGTAAACGAACTTGACATGTAACATCCAACAATGTCGGGAGTGTGGCCAACACTGATGCGTCCGTTTGCACTGGGGTTTAAAACGGCATTTTCAAAACAGTTAGTAGTTACATGTAAGTTCTTTTCTGGAGGACTCTTGTAAGTAAATACGTATACTCTCTTATAACTGGACAGCTGGAGTGGATCTGTTGTTTGTTAGGTGCGCAAGGTCCAACTTTCTACTCTGTGCTTGGTTCTTAGTAATGCTTAGGAAAGCCACTTTTCTAGGTAAACTCGGTACACTCGGTACAGCCGGTTCACTGAATCTTACCAAACTAAAAAATCCCCTTGCCTGTAAAATTTTTGATACGACGATCTCCCTTATTCTAACATATAACAGTGATGAACATATAACAGGGGTGTGTTTGCCAAACCAGATTTGCCGGTACACTCGGTACAGCCGATACAGCCGGTAAAAAGGAGGAGGATTGTTTGGCATCGACAGTCTTTACTTCATACACTAACTGAAGATGGCATACAACACCTGTTCTGGTGACAAAGAAGATACGCACCAAGCGTAACAATCTGAGGAAAAGGGTCCAAAAAGTTGCTTGGCTGTAGAAAACTATGAAATTGAGTCTCATTGTGCTGCGGGAAATACTAACTAATGCAGACATGACAATTTTTCCATGAAAAAGTTCTTATTGTTCTCGCGAGCTGGCCAATCAGACAACCGCTTTAGGATCAGGTGCAGGACGACCCTTGTAATGCGTCAATAAAGCCGCCGCGAATTTACAAAAACAGCTTTTAAAATTTGAACCAATCAATAATCAAGAGAAGCCAGTGTCTTATTAATAATGTTATAAATGTCATTCGTTGACTTCAAGAAGCTCATGAGAACACTCCGTTTAAGGATTTTGTTTTCAAAATCATTTCAGGTAGAAAGCGCCAAAAACAAGAAAAATTCAAATGAGCTTCACTCTGTCAACTCGTGTGATAATGAATTAATGTTTGCTGAAACTGCAATATTTAATTTTGTTCTTTTAGTTTTGTTTATTTATTTGTTTGTTTGATATTCCTTAAAAGTTTGTTTGTTTGTTTGTTTTGTTATTATTGCTAGCCTTTTTTGGATGCGCATTAGGCAGGTCTACATGTCATAAAATATATTAGGGGGCCGAGAGAATTCCATTCCACAGTTTTGGTACATAGGTTTGAACAACGACCTGTAACGTATGGATTTAAGTCGAAATTGCACGTAAGGTGTTTAAAATTCATATGACTTCGTGCTGTTGTAATAATGAAAAATTCAAAGCTTTCATGCTTCCTTTCTTTATCTCAGTGAGAAGTAATATTTACCATAGCAAAGTAAGTAAACTTTACCTCCGATGCGGAAAAAAATACACGACGAAAAAGGTAAGCTGTTTTGTCTGCGGTGCACAGCTGAATCTAATTATTATGATGCCAGTTTTTTTTATCATTCTGTTTTGAAAGAAAATGATTAATTCTTTATTAGGGACGTCGCAAATTCCAGCCTTAAACTCGAGAGGAAATTTTAAATGGTACCTTAAATTTTTAGGTGGTGCCGGTGAGGGTTAACAATGGGTGGATTATAAAATCTGCTAATAAGGACACAGTGATATATTTTCGTTAACTAAGATTATAGATGTAGACCTGTTTCCATAATTAAACAATAGCAGTGGTTTTGGGTAATTAAAAAAAGACATATTCGTTGCCAATAAAGTTTTTAGTCATTTTGTGTCACGAGAGTGGGTTGCACGTACTGAACAGTGCGCAATTTTAAAAGTTCGAGCCTGAGGTGTCATCTGTATGTAACAGGGGTTCAAGTTTTGAGTGAACTTGCCTGCGAAACACAACTGATCGTCAATTTGCTACTGAGACACTACTGAACGCAGGCATTTATCAGCCATGCATAATCAAGGTATGGTCTTTTACTTACATGTCAACTTTTTCATGTTGAAACAGAGGTTTATAGTGTACATTAACGAGGGGAGAAGAAAAAAAGCTTAGTTTAATTGTCATGGAATGTGTATCTATTTATGTTTTCCCAACCTTACGACAGTAAACGTACGATAATTATTGTGCACGGAATGCTGACATCTTTCAATTTTGGAAGACGCAGCTGTGCGAAATACTGGATGCATGCACAGCGACAAACTTACGATGCTCGAAATCATTTTCTTTTATATTTCATCAGTCCAAAGAGAGATGGGGTAAATATTAAACAAAAATGGAAAATGGAAAGATTTCGTGAAGTTTTAATTTTTCTCTTGAATACGTTAGATGCCATTAGCAGGTTAAAAATCTGGGGAAAAACATCGAATAATCCTTCGCAACCTTTAAGACACTACACTCCACAGTTTTGACATTTTATTTAGTACCAACGAGGCACAGCATCTTGAATATAAAAAAAGGATATCAAATTTTTTTTACATCGCTGGGCCTCTGGTCAGCGTCGTTTTGCCTATAGAGGGTTTAAAATCTGGAATGGAATAAGCAAGCACCTCAGGACGTTAGTAGCTTAGACACTTTTAAACAGTGTGATTTTAGAGAATATTAAAGCAAATCATGTTAATATATTAATTAATTATTATACATTTATTATAGTAGGGAGCAACAATAAATGTCTGTATGTATATATAAAAATTGCGATTACATAATTTGTTTTTTGGCGGGGGGAGGGGCTTTTTTTGTCACATTAACTTTAAAATGCTACTCATAACCGATCGACAAGTCCACTGGTGCCAATATAGAGGGTCTTGGTTGACTGATGCCATTGAAGGAAACTTTTACGGCCACCAAATATTTTCGTTTGGTCAATGAATTCACATTTACTCGCAATGTTTTTTTTTTTTTTTTTCATTTTTGTGAATACTGACAAGAATTTTCGATTGCAACAAAAAACTGCATGAAAAATATTCAAACACACATCAGATTTACAAGGATATCTACGTACCGGTCTGGCTCTGCAACCCTTTTTTCCCTGGCGTTAGAGATGAACTACCAAATATCATCTCGTTCATGCATGAATGGAACATCGAAATTAAAGCTAAAGAAATAAACAACCGATTAATCATCATCAGTGTTCACCGACTAGAAATCCGTGTGATGATATTTCCTTCATATTACGGACATAAAGAGTCTCTCGGGCTATAAAGACCAGTATAACCTGAACATCAGTTTTTGAAACGTGTGAGCAAGTGAGTCAAATCAGTTGCGGATTACCAACACCGCAGAGGTATAAAAAAGCCTGTTCACCATTGAGACGAATTCAGAGGGCCACGCTTAACCAGGCTTATAATTAAGCCCTTTATTATTTTCTGATAAAAGCCTGGTTTAACCCTTGGACGTACACGCAAACTCATACCCCCACAGTTGTACAAGGGGGGGAGGTTGATGGAACCCCTTCCTTGGGTTTTTTATATGTTGCAGTATTTTGAAAATATTTTGCCTTCAGTGGAAAGCTTTTCATCTTCTCGCCTAGATGAGGGATATTTTATGGGTGGTGTCGCGGCTGCTAGCCTGTGACGTCACCAAACTGATATATGGTCGCCAACTTAGCCGCCATCTTGGCCCCAGAATTAGAAATTAGGCAAATTTTTTTGTGCTTGACATATCAAATAGCACATCGATTAGTACTTTGTTTCATTTTATCCACAGGCTTTGCTTTTATTGTTGAAACAAGTTGAAAAACATGCATTTTCACTCAAAATTGTTCGATCACAAAATATACTTATTCGTTCTATCTCGTAGCCATAATATGTGATTATCACCAAACTTATCACAAAATGGGTGTGAAAGATAAACGAGCAGCTACTGACACCGTCAAGGGGTTGATGTTAGATCTTCAAGGTAGTTTCTCAGAGGTACGTCCGAGGGTTAATCGAGGTTTACAGAGTTTACGGGACCTACGTTTGTTTCTTCATTAAATATTTACAGGCCGGCCTACTTACATAGCTAAACCTCTGTAAAACTTTTTTTTTCCAGTGCTAAATTCTCAAGCAATTAAAAGTAGGGCTCATTCCATCGAAGTGTTTTGATAAAGCAGAAATGAAAAAGTACGAAGTCAGTATGAAAACACCATCTACGCTTAATGATAAAAGCGGTGCGACTCGCAAAAAAGAGGTAGAAAAGCTGGTCAAGGAATTTGGATCGTACACAACGCTACATGGCTTGCACTTCCTCTTCGAATCCTCTTCCGTAGTTCGTCGTATTTTGTGGTTAATGTTAATGGGGGCGTGCATGGTAATTTTAGCTTTTCAAGTCAGGCACAGCTACATTAAACTACGAAGATATGACAGCCTCATAACGAAAGACATCGAGCGTTCAAACAGTTTGCTCTTCCCAGCGGTTACTATTTGCAATCAAAACATGTTTCTGAAGAGCAAAATACTTGGCACAGACGTACAGATATACCTGGATGAGATTGACGAACTGAAAGCCGAGAATCAGGCGAATATCATGACCCCCTTAAAAAATAGATCGCGTCGGATAAGTTCTTCATTTAATATTCTTAAAGTTGCGGAAGAAGCAGGACATAATCTGACGGTCATGATGATCCTTTGCTCGTGGAGAGGACGCAAATGTGGACCGGAAAATTTTACTTCCTTTGTATCCGAAAGAGTAAGTATCAGTGGTTTCTAACTTTTCATTAGCTAGTGCATTTTCCTTATTTTTTTATCCTTTCACTCCCATAATGAGCATTTTTTGAATCCTTGATTAATTTTGAATTTGGTCACTAGTAGGAGTGTAAAGGTACGTGCAAACGGCCAACAATTTTGGGAGTTGTTGCGTCCGTGTTGGCAGTAGCGTGCAAACGCATCCAACAACACCCAACAATGTTGAAACCTGAAGTGCATCATGGGATAACCCATAAGACTTTGGAGACTAGGTGCAATGCCCGTGCGTGGTCACAACAATGCTGGAAGAGCTGTGCAAACGGATCCAACATTGTTGCGCTACGCTTCGGTGATTACGGAACAAAAGAAATGTTGTGACTTGTTTGCTCAAAATTTTGACCGGTTTCAAATTTTGCACAAAAACTCCCAACAACATGCAGCAGGGTCCAAACGGACGCAGCATGTAACACTCGGCAATGTTGGGAGTTGTTGGCCAACAATGCTGGGTCCGTTTTCACGCAGCAAGGGTCAGGAACAAAGCTGAACTTATTGTTTATTTATTTATTTATTTATTTATTTATTTACTGTCTATATTGTGGGTTAGACAGTCGATTAAGCATGTATTGCTTTACGCTTCTCTCTTCTTCCAGTTTTGTTTGATTATACAAACTGAGCTCAGTGCTGAATCCAGACATTGACATAAGGGGGAGCCCGGTTATCTATACCATGAGATAAGGAGAGGAGGGGGCGGTCTACAAAATTTTTTTTTTTGGCCCTTCGGGCCTCAGTTTGGTCTAAAACTAAGGGGGGGCCCAGGTGCTCCCCTGAATCCACCACTTGAGCATGAGGTTCATAGTTTTATGAATATTTACATCTTTTGTTAATAATTTTTTAACATCTTTATTATAAACTTTTTCTCAAAGTCAGACAGAGTTCAGAGGCCTGTGTAGAAGCTTCCTCGCACTTAATGCCTTCCCAAATTCCCCCTCCCCAGAAAATTGTCTTCATTCGACCGGAAAATCAGTTGCTCAGCCTTTGCATCTTACATGATCTTTAAATAAACTGGACCTAGCACTAAAACTTCGAAATGGAACTTATCGATTCTGACTTGTTTTCTCTTTTCTCAGAGAGGTATGTGTTAAACTTTCAACTCGGGACAACCAGGCCATCCATTATTAAACGCCACTGCATCGGGAATAAGTCAGGCTTTGAGTCTAATACTAGATGTGNTTATTTATTTATTTATTTATTTACTGTCTATATTGTGGGTTAGACAGTCGATTAAGCATGTATTGCTTTACGCTTCTCTCTTCTTCCAGTTTTGTTTGATTATACAAACTGAGCTCAGTGCTGAATCCAGAGATTGACATAAGGGGGAGCCCGGTTATCCATACCCTGAGATAAGGAGAGGAGGGGGCGGTCTACAAAATTTTTTTTTTTGGCCCTTCGGGCCTCAGTTTGGTCTAAAACTAAGGGGGACCCAGGTCCTCCCCTGAATCCACCACTGGAGCATGAGGTTGATAGTTTTATGAATATTTACATCTTTTGTTAATAATTTTTTAACATCTGTAGTGTATCAACTTGGTTTCTTAAAGTCAGACAGAGTTCAGAGGCCTGTGTAGAAGCTTCCCCACACTTTATGCCTTCCCAAATTCCCCCTCCCCAGAACGTTTTCTTCATGTTGACCGGAAAATCAGTTGCTCAGCCTTTGCATCTTACATGATCTCTAAGCTAAATAAACTGGAGCTGGCACTGAAACTTTGAAAAGGAACTTATCGATTCTGACTTTTTTTCTCTTTTCACAGAGAGGTATGTGTTACACTTTCAACTCGGGACAACCAGGCTACCCATTATTGAACGCCACTGCATCGGGAATAAGTCAGGCTTTGAGTCTAATACTAGATGTGCAACCCGAAGAATATTATGGCCCCTTTAGCTACGAAGCAACTGGCATCAAGCTTGTACTTCACGAGCAACATGAGTGGCCGCAGGTAGAAAACTTAGGAATTGACATCTCACCGGGCTACAACACAAATATCAGGATAAAACGAAACAAGGTGCCTGGTTTCTCTCCTCTTTTTAAACCTTAAGGAAATGAAATACCAAGACATAACCTTTTCAGGCTAATTCTTTAAATCAAATCAGCCAGCCAACAGTATGTACGTAAGCAAACAAAATTAATTCCTTTTTTTCTGAGAAAAATATGTATGACAGTCTCTTAATATGGCTTAAAGGTCAGAGGACTAACTAATAATAATAATAATATGATATCATAAAATAATAGTATTCGGAACTTTAAAACGGCGCGAAGTAATGTAGCACACATGAAGTATTGATACCAATGTAGAAGAAAATGCTCTAATTTTCCGAGAAACAAACTGATACAGTGGAACCTGCATACAAGGGACACCCTCGGGACCAAGGCAAGTGTTCTTTAAATAGAGTACCCAGCCTCGTCCCCAGGGCGCTTTTCCCTGGCTTTGGAGGTGGAGCAACCAATCAAAATGACGGATTGGCCGGCCGATGCCATGGCCCTTTCCCACCCCACCTCCAAAGCCAGGAAAAAAGTGCCCTCAATGGGGGATCGGACGAGGTTGTAGAGTACCTTGAATGGAGGTTAAACCTGGGTCTCGGGACCCACAAAAACTGTCTCTTTCCCTTGGATAGAGGTGTTCCTTCGATAACAAATTAAATACAAAGATTATTTGAACATTTTCGGAACTAAATTGTGTGCCCCCTGAAGAGAGTGGTCTGTTGAATAGAGGGTATGAACAGAGGTGCCCCAAAGGAGAGGCTCCACTGTAATTTGCATATAACATAAACACACGTATGGTAAAAATCTCGGTCCCAGGGCTTAAAGTGAAGAGGAACGAAAATTCCCTTGAATCGGCTGGTGTCCCCACGTACATCCTAAAATCTTTGGTTTAATAAACTACAGCTGTGTGTTAAGCTCAATTATGCATAATCTCACAGCGTGCGGTCGCAGGCGGTCATCTTTGACGAGTAACGAGCAGTTCTACAAGACTTTCTTGTTATAACAGAAATACCGTGGTAACTTTTTGTACATTGCCAGAAGCTTCCCAATTGTAATGGAAAATAAATGTCTCGATATGTCCAAATAGCAGTTCAGTAGAGTCGAACCTCTTGGTACGGACACCTCTCTTATACGGACACCTCTCTACCATGGACAGTTTGCCTGTCCTGACAAAATTCTCATATATTTTCTTTAAAAATAACCTCTATAATACGGACTCTCTCTAACATGGACAACGGACACTAAATCTCGGCCCAGGGAGTAAATTCACACAAACTTAACCTCTTTATTACGGACACTGGGGTGATTAAGTGAATCCCGAATCCCGATCAGGTGAATCATGCCGTCCTGGCTGATGAGCTATGCAAGCTGATTTCAAAGTCCAGTCGCTGTATACCAAACAACGATTTGCGAAAGGTGTACAGAGAAACATACATGTAACCGACTTTTTTTAAGGCTTAAATAACTACAGATAGCATACAGATATTTTCTATTACATTTTGTACTCTAGTTACTGTTTACTGCACTAATTAATGCAAAATAGCGAAAGAACTTTTCAGATTTGTGCTTTTCGTTTCAACTTTTTACATGCAGCATTGCGCTGTGGCTCGTTTCGTTTTAAAACGTTGATTTGTCCACGATTATATAGTTGTACTTACTTTGTAGCTGATATATTTTGTATAATCATCATGTTGTCTACTGTACTGGAAGACAGTGTCTTTTACTGTGAATTGATAAATTTAAATGCAGTTTAAAGACGAGTGTGAGCCTGGTTTTATCAACTGAACACTTAAAACTGTAAGTGGAGTCATAATGCGGAAACTTCGCTCTGTTCCTTGTAGTGTCCGTATTCAGAGAGCTTCGACTGGATACGGTTTCTAACAGCTCCATTTTTGCATTATTTTGTTTGTTTGTTTGTTTGTTTTTTCAGTTTATCGCCCTTGAACCACCTTACCGCCCCCTTGTGGCACAAAAAAATTGATTACTTCAAATATCTACTCCTCCAGTCGGTGTTTAATGGAATGCAGCAGTAAACAGCTGATGGAAATATGTAACTGTAGCCGCCCAACATTGCCACTTGGAGGTAATAGCGGAGTGGAATTAATGGCGACTTCGCGCTCGCCAGAGGGCGGGCTCGCGTTTCTTCGCTTTCAAATTTAAATTAAAGCAATTCACGCGCTTGCCCCTATGACATTTTTGTGGTATACTGAGCTTTTGTTTTCGTCTTCATATAGCCATCATCAGGTAGCAATTCAACACCACTACACCTGCTGTTCGAACTAATACTACCTTAAATGGGAGAGCTTTTATGAAAGCATCGCCCACGCTCTGGAACGCTTCGTGCAATCACGAAAAGGGGGAGACGTTGCGTGACATCGATATCCCAAAAAATTGCTTCCAGGGAGACTAAGTCAAGAGGGATAAACATTACTCTGTAATTTCATTATTTATGCAATCTCCTGGAACATTTCAAAATTATCTAATAGATTTTATTTCATTTTACATGTAGTTAAGTTGGATGCCTCAACGATATGCACCGCCCAGGACATAAAGAATTGTATTCTGCCCAACGCTGGTAAAGCTCTTTTTCGTTTGTCAAGAAAAATACATTGTGAGCCATTCACGTCCATTAACGATTTTCTTGCAATTTTTTGACAGGTTTAGTTGGCAGTAATGATTGTGACTGTCCAGCGGAATGTGAAAAAGTGTTATATTCGTCTTCTCACTCCACTGCATACTTCCCATCAGGTCATTACTGGGACTCTATTTTTCAAATTTTAAATACGAGTGCTAGAACTTTCAACTCGGGACAACCAGGCCATCCATTATTAAACGCCACTGCATCGGGAATAAGTCAGGCTTTGAGTCTAATACTAGATGTGCAACCCGAAGAATATTATGGCCCCTTTAGCTACGAAGCAACTGGTATCAAGCTTGTACTTCACGAGCAACATGAGTGGCCGCAGGTAGAAAACTTGGGAATTGACATCTCACCGGGCTACAACACAAATATCAGGATAAAACGAAACAAGGTGCCTGGTTTCTCTCCTCTTTACTTAAACCTTAAAGAAATGAAATACAAAGACATAACCTGTTCAGGCTAATTCTTTAAATAAAATCAGCCAGCTAACAGTATGTACGTAAGCAAACAAAATTAATTCCTTTTTTTCTGCGAAAAATATGTATGACAGTCTCTTAATATGGCTTAAAGGTCAGAGGACTAAACCATAATTATAATAATAATATGATATCATAAAAAAAATAGTATTCGGAACTTTAAAACGGCGCGAAGTAATGTAGCACACATGAAGTATTGATACCAATGTAGAAGAAAACGCTCTAATTTTCCGAGAAACAAACTGATACAGTGGAACCTCCATACAAGGGACACCCTCGGGACCAAGGCAAGTGTTCTTTAAATAGAGTACCCAGCCTCGTCCCCAGGGCGCTTTTCCCTGACTTTGAAGGTGGAGCAACCATTCAAAATGACGGATTGCCCGGCCGATGCCATGGCCCTTTCCCACCCCACCTCCAAAGCCAGGAAAAAAGCGCCCTCACTGGGAAACGAGGTTGTAGAGTCCCTTGAATGGAGGTTAAACCTGGGTCTCGGGACCCACAAAAAATGTCCTTTTCCCTTGGATAGAGGTGTTCCTTCGATAACAAATTAAATACAAAGATTCTTTGAACATTTCGGAACTAAATTGTGTGCCCCTTGAAGAGAGTTATCTGTTGAATAGAGGGTCCAAACAGAGGTGTCCCAAAGGAGAGGCTCCACTGTAATTTGCAAATAACATAAAGACACGTATGGTAAAAATCTCGGCCCCAGGGCTTCTCCTTTAAAAAAAAAAGTGGAGGTCCGGGGGAAGAAAAGCCCCTGGAATCGCCTGGTCGCGTGTCCGCACGCACACCCTAAAATCTTTGGTTTAATAAACTACAGCTGTGTGTTTAGCTCAATTATGCATAATCTCACAGCGTGCGATCGCAGGCGGTCATCTTTGACGAGTAACGAGCAGTTCTACAAGACTTTCTTGTTATAACAGACATGCCGTGGTAATTTTTTGTACATTGCCAGAAGCTTCCAAATTGTAATGGAAAATAAATGTCTCGATATGTCCAAATAGCAGCTCAGTAGAGTCGAACCTCTTGGTACGGACACCTCTATCTAATACGGACACCTCTCTACTATGGACAGTTTGCAATGTCCTGACAAAATTCTTATATATTTTCTTTAAAAATAACCTCTATAATACGGACTCTCTCTAACATGGACAACGGACACTAAATCTCGGCCCAGGGAGTAAATTCATACAAACTTAACCTCTTTATTACGGACACCGGGGTGATTAAGTGAATCCCGAATCCCGATCAGGTGAATCATGCCGTCCTAGCTGATGAGCTATGCAACCTGATTTCAAAAGTCCAGTCGCTGTCATTATCAAACAAAGATTTGCGAAAGGTGTACAGAGGAACATACATGTAACCGACTTTTTTTAAGGCTTAAATAACTACAGATAGCATAAAGATATTTTCTATTACATTTTGTACTCTAGTTACTGTTTACTGCACTAATTAATGCAAAATAGCGAAAGAACTTTTCAGATTTGTGCTTTTCGTTTCAACTTTTTACATGCAGCATTGCGCTGTGGCTCGTTTCGTTTTAAAACGTTGATTTGTCCACGATTATATAGTTGTACTTACTTTGTAGCTGATATATTTTGTATAATCATCATGTTGTCTACTGTACTGGAAGACAGTGTCTTTTACTGTGAATTGATAAATTTAAATGCAGTTTAAAGACGAGTGTGAGCCTGGTTTTATCAACTGAACACTTAAAACTGTAAGTGGAGTCATAATGCGGAAACTTCGCTCTGTTCCTTGTAGTGTCCGTATTCAGAGAGCTTCGACTGGATACGGTTTCTAACAGCTCCATTTTTGCATTATTTTGTTTGTTTGTTTGTTTGTTTTTTCAGTTTATCGCCCTTGAACCACCTTACCGCCCCCTTGTGGCACAAAAAAATTGATTACTTCAAATATCTACTCCTCCAGTCGGTGTTTAATGGAATGCAGCAGTAAACAGCTGATGGAAATATGTAACTGTAGCCGCCCAACATTGCCACTTGGAGGTAATAGCGGAGTGGAATTAATGGCGACTTCGCGCTCGCCAGAGGGCGGGCTCGCGTTTCTTCGCTTTCAAATTTAAATTAAAGCAATTCACGCGCTTGCCCCTATGACATTTTTGTGGTATACTGAGCTTTTGTTTTCGTCTTCATATAGCCATCATCAGGTAGCAATTCAACACCACTACACCTGCTGTTCGAACTAATACTACCTTAAATGGGAGAGCTTTTATGAAAGCATCGCCCACGCTCTGGAACGCTTCGTGCAATCACGAAAAGGGGGAGACGTTGCGTGACATCGATATCCCAAAAAATTGCTTCCAGGGAGACTAAGTCAAGAGGGATAAACATTACTCTGTAATTTCATTATTTATGCAATCTCCTGGAACATTTCAAAATTATCTAATAGATTTTATTTCATTTTACATGTAGTTAAGTTGGATGCCTCAACGATATGCACCGCCCAGGACATAAAGAATTGTATTCTGCCCAACGCTGGTAAAGCTCTTTTTCGTTTGTCAAGAAAAATACATTGTGAGCCATTCACGTCCATTAACGATTTTCTTGCAATTTTTTGACAGGTTTAGTTGGCAGTAATGATTGTGACTGTCCAGCGGAATGTGAAAAAGTGTTATATTCGTCTTCTCACTCCACTGCATACTTCCCATCAGGTCATTACTGGGACTCTATTTTTCAAATTTTAAATACGAGTGCTAGCAATATCACCAAAGATATAAAGTCAGACCTCCAAGAGGCAATCAGGTTAGATGAATGTCTTATTGTCAATTTTAATCAGTTGTGAAACATGCAATTTGCATTCTCTTGAAATTTCCTCGAATAATACTCGGGGGCAATTATTCGAGGGAAGGCGATTATTTCAAATATTTCTCACTGGGAGTCGTGCCCTAAATATTTTCTTTTATTATCCCAATAAATCCAAAAATTATCACATCAAATAAACGGAACATGAGCTTTTAAAGTGTTCCAAATTTGGTTCCTTGATTAATTTTCAGAGCTTGAATCATCACTGATCAGTTTTGCTGGATCAGATTCCACTTCACCTTGACAGAGAGTTGATAAAAGAAACAGAAGATGGCGAGAGGGGTTGGGGGGTGGGGTGATTATTCGAGGGAGGAGAATAATCGAGGGACGGCTATTATTCGAGGAAATACGGTAGTATATCTGCCGGTCCTCGGTAAATAAACTAAGACGGAATTATCCGTTATGAAACCAATGAAGGCGTTATATTCATATTCATTTTTATATTCTTACTTTATCCTCAGGCAAGGGTTTCGTTTCTTCAAAGTTTTAATTTATGAAAGAATTTTATGAATCAATAATCAGAGCCACGCATCTCTAGTCTTAAAGTAATCAACCTGCAGTCATGTTTCATAACCCTATGTTGACTGATTAATTTCGTGATCTGCTTGGCTTAACAGGAGGCGTTTATTGAGAGTGAACATTTTCTACAAAGATATGCTGACTGAAGTCACACGAACAAAACCAGCATACGAAATCTCCGACTTTGCATGTAGGTTTAACCAATTCTCACAGCTTAATTTTCCTGCCTTTAAAACTTTCACGATTCGGCTCTATGGCAGGAAATATTTTTCTTGTTTTCTCACATATACGGCAGACCGCACCTTATACGGCAAAGTGCACTCTATTCGCTAAAAAAAACAACGCTTAAGGAGCCACTCTTAAAGCTATAGCGTTTTTGCTTTTTCATGAAGACCATTCCACCTAATCTGGGCTGGTCCTGTCCACAGAAAATCTCCTCGTTTCTACTCACGAGGTGAGCTTACTAATTGTTTTCGACTGTCCACACTGAGCCAACGCACGAAAACGCACCCCTGCAGCCTCCACTTTTTATCACTTTAGATAGTGTGGACGTAAGGTTAACACATATAGCAATGAGTGACGGTTGTAAAATGTTAGTGTGGACGGGAATAAGACCATTGATTACCTCGTTGATAGAGTCAGGCTTGGTTTTTCTCCTCCGAGACCTTGGCTAGGATAAAAACCATCAAGAAAGAAAAGATTCCTTTGCCATATTTAGCAATTATTGAATTCGGCTTTCGTAGGATATGAAGAATTCTTCTTAACAAACCAATTCCACGACTAATTCGAATGTCTGTCTTTGATTGGATTTTTTTGTGCCCAATCAGAGGCCAGCATCTATCGCGCCGCTTTCGTGTTCTTCCTATACGAAGGAGTTTACCTGCAAACTCGATTGTTGGCCGCACATGTTTGGCTTGTGCAAGAGAGCTTTCTTGGAGAAGAGTTTTCAGTGAAGATAGGCCCCAAAGAACCACAGAAATTCCATAATTGGTAAAATTTCCGTATAAACTCTCATACATTTATGCATGCAGCAATTTCATACTGTTTCACACCAATTGACTATTTTCCAATTCCCCATAATACACTCTGTCTGCCCCCCAAATTTTGCATAACTTATTGTCTTAAAATGCTCTTGGGAAAATGCAATACTCCCAGGAGCATTTAAAAACAATGGTTTATGCAAAATTTGGGGGGCAAACAGAGTGTATTATGGGGAATTGGAAAATAGAGAATAGTTGATATAAATAGAGTGGAACCATGCATAGATAATAAATGTATGGATTTATACGGAAATCTTACCCCATAATTTACCATGTTAGCAAAACAAAACAAAAGGAACGAAAAATGCACCAGTTAAAGAAATCAGCCTGTGGACTGATCGAAGGTAAATTCGTAAACACCAGAGTACTTCTTGGCTTGTTCATGCAAAATCGTCAGCATGGTTATTTACGCCTTCCGGCATACTTGTCAGGCACGTGCAGGAGAAATTTTTCCGCCCTTTAAAGTTTGTAAATATGTTGTTAGAGTTTCTCCTCAGTGATATACAAGGGGATCCAATGA